GTCTAGCGAGCCAGCATCTTACGCACTTAGTCACCGTGGCTCCCTGGTTAAGCGACTCGGTCAACAGAAATGATTGTATCTTGGCGTTGACCAGAAAGGAAACATATATTATGAACAATTTACTTTCAAAGACTGTCGCATATTAAACTTACCTTAGCTCCGATCTGGTTGCCACATTGGCCGGTTTGCATATGAACGATTTCTCTCATGTTGGAAGTTTAAAGGGTTAACTAAGAAGACAGAAAGTGAATGTTAACGATAGACTCAATGTTAACTTATATACATATATTCCATGTCACGTGTCACCAAGGACAACATTGGTGTTAAGTTAATAAAGTAGATAATCCAATAGTAGTGAGGGGATTAACAAATTACCAAAATTGAATGGGATTAATCAAGCACTCCTTTATGAATGGTATTTTAATACTGCATTTGCCTCCCTTTATTCATAAACGAATCCACGTTCAATAAAAACGGGGCGCCACGGTGTTTCAATGAGTAGGACGCTGGCTCGCTAACCGGGATGTCCCGTGTTCGATCCCTGCATTGGCCGAAAAAAGACGGGGCCTGTGAAGCAACAGCGTATAGTCGTTCGGATGGGACGAAAGACCGAGGTCCGGTGTACATTTTGGCGTGTACGTAAAAGAACCCATGGCAGTTTGAATTGGATATAAGAGTAGGCTGTAGCTCCGCTGTCCGGGCAAAATTTCCCTCATAGCACACTGTATGGCGTATGCCCAGTGGAAGCAGAACAGTAGTACTTAAAACCTCAATAAAAATAAAACAATTCATATGATGTAGGGGGTGTTGGATGGCCGAATGGTTAGCACGTTCGCGCTGTATCATAAGGCCTGTCATTGAGTCAACTGGCGTGGTTTCGATTCGCCGGTTGTACGTGACAAGGAGTAGGGTTGCCTGTCCAACCTCTTGAGTTTTCTCCTGGCCATCCGGTCTCCTCCCACTGCTAAAGACCCCTACGCGCAAGCGAATTATTTAAATAAAATTAAACCATATGTTAATCTCGAAATTACCTATGTTGAGTAGACGTTAAACCCCATCTCTCTCTCTCTCTCTCTCTCTCTCTCTCTCATATGATGTAAAAAATAAATACTGACGTTAAGAAACAGTATGGCTACTGAAATAAAATGAAATGGGTGTTTAAGGTCCTACTGTTCTGCTCCTAAACTGGGCTAATGAAGACGGGCATACGCCATACAGTGTACTATGAGGGAAATATTGTCCGGGCAGCGGCGCTACGGCCTACTCTTATATCGAATTCCAACTGCCAAGGGATCTTTTGCGTGCACGCCAATGTGTACACGGGACCTCGGTTTTTCGTCCCGTCCGAACTACTAGACAGCTGTCCTTGTCAGGCCCTCCGTCCTGCATCACTGAAAAGGGGGAAACCACGCCGGAAATTTTCTCGGCCAATGCAGGGATCGAACACCCGACCTCCAGGCTAGCGAGCCAGCGTCCTACCCACTTAGCCACGTGATCCCCAGTATGGCTACTAATCAAACGTCTCTTAACAGATGATGAAATATAGAGATAACAGTTCATAGACAATTTTCTAATATGATATCTAATAGAATCCCGAGGGATTGCGGGGCTGCTGTCGGGCAAAACATTTTTTCGGGCGATCATCAAATTTTTCGGGTAGTGACCAACCAAATGATAAATAAAAACCCCAATAAACCTGAGTTCAGTTTCAGAAAATCACACAATTCAATTCTGATTTTGATTCAGGGTGTCTAGTTCTCAAACACAAACTGCCGATCGAGAAGTTTCTCTCCTCTAGGCGGTACTTGCTGTTATTTTCTTGGGGGTTGGATGGCTGAATGGTTAGCACGTGCGCGCTGTATCATAAAGTCTATCATTGAGTCAACTGGCGTGGTTTCGATTTCCCGGTTGTACCGGACAAGGAGTAGGGTCGCCTATCCAACCTCGTGGGTTTTCTCCGGGTCCTCCGGTTTCCTCCCACTGCTAAAGGCCCCTACGCGCAAGCGAATTATGAAAATAAAATTGAACCATATGTTAGTCCCGAAATGACCTAGTTTGTGTTGACTGGACGTTTAACCCCATTTCTCTCTCTCTCTCTCTGTTATTTCTGGTAAAGTTATGTAGGTTTGTTTTTCCGGCGCCGTATTTTTGGGCAAAAATGATAGAGTTCCCCAGGGAAAATAGACCCGTACGCCTACGAATTGTTTGATTTATCAAATGAATTTACTAATTTGAATAGATCTGAACTGAGCATTGGAATGAATTATCGACGTGCTTGAAATGAAGCGATGATATTGGGTATTATGTGTATTATGTGAGCCATGGTGTATATTCACTGCGAGATATACATTGGTAAATATACATTACATCGTTGACTAATGTCGTGTATGTATTATGAGTTATATGCAGATCTTCCACAGCTGACTCAATGTGTATTTACCGTGAGTGATATACGCAATTGATATAACGTGAGTTTTGTGCAATTACTATCAGTTACATACTGGGAATATAGGTATCTTACTCAGTGAACTGTGTATTTGCTGTGAGTTATATACCGGGAATATACATATATTACACAGTAGACTAAAGTTGTATACGGAGGTGTATTTACTATTGGTGAATACACGTATATTACTCAGTGGACTAATGGTGTATACGTACGTGTATGTTTACATATACCGGGAATATACATATATTGCACGGTGAACTATTGTTAAATACGTATGTGTAGTTACAGTGAGTTATATACCGGGAATATACATTGCAGTGAACTAATGTTGTACACGAGTGCGTATTTACTGTGAGTTATATAATGGTAAATGTACGGATATTACACGGTAGACTAATGTTGTATACGTATGAATTTTTTACAGTGAGTTATGTATAATTTAATGGTCGAGAGCCAGACATATATTGTATCAACAAGACACTCTGCACGTGCTTTTGCAATGAAATGCGTCACACGAGTCCAGTATTTCACTAGTATAAATAATGTACGATTGACAATTTGCCCGTACCATTATTTGAAATAATGGTACGTCAACATCAAAGGATGACATCTGTATTTTAAATACTGAGAATATATGTATATTACCATGGACTTTATAATACAAGGTCCATGATATTACACGGTATACTAGGTTAATTTATGGTAATTTACCGTTAAAGGGACAATAACACTCTTGCTGGCTTGACAGCTCCAGAAAATAAAAAATAGCCTTATTCTAAGTACTAGATGTGTTAGTGTCCTACCTGTTGTGTAAATTATCCATTAAATCCTATTTTACTTGTCCAAAGGGTTCAAAAATATTTTTAAATCCAAGTCACATTTGAAAAGCTTTACGTCAGGCTTTTCAAATCATTTAGTTGAATTTTTCCAATTTTTTAAATTAGGTGTGTTAAGATGAAATTTGTACATTAATTAATTGGAATATTGTAAAATAGTACAATTTGTTGACCAGAATAAAGATTGGGACATATTATTCAGTTACAACAAGAGTGCTACTGAGTCTTTAAGGTAGACTAATGTTGTTTATATTTACCGTGAATTATTGGACAATATTTGTATTTATGGCATCTTTAAGTGGACTCTTATACACATAAGAGTGTTAATGTATATTGGGCGTCATGTATATTCAACTAACTGTTCTTGGAATAGGGGGATCACGGTGGCTAAGTGGGTAAGACCCTGGCTCGCTAGCCTGGAGGTCGGGTGTTCAATCCCTGCACTGGTCGAGAATGTTCATCCATATTTTCTGGCCTGGTTCCCCCTTGTCAGTGATGCAGGACGGAGGGACTAACAAGGACAATTGTCTAGTCATTTGGATGGGACAAAAAGCCAAGGTCCCGTGTACACATTGGCATGCACATAAAAGATCCCTTGACAGTTGGAATTCGATATAAGAATAGGCCGTAGTGCCACTGTCCAGGTAAAATTTCCCTCATAGCACACTGTATATGCCCGTCTTCATTAGCCCAGTTTGGAGCAGAACAGTAGGACGTTAAACCCTATTTCATTTCATTTTCATGGAATAGTCGAAGGAAAAATAATGAAGAAATATTGGGTGTTTAACTTGTGTTAATGATGCCCCGTTTCCTCTTATGTAAAACAAAAGAAAGTGAGTTTCGGGTCTCATAAACAAATTACTTGGGTCATTTAGAGACTAACATTATCATTATGTTTATTCTAGGGTCATTGGGGGGGGGGGCCGAATGATTAGCACTCGCACACTAATCATAAGGCCTGTCATTGAGTCAACTGGCATGGTTTCCATGCCCGTAACTATGGGGGGGGGGGGGTGCAGGGGTGGCAAAGCCCCCCCTGCAAAAAGTTTCGCCCCCCCGTGAAAAAATTTCTGACCATAAAAAAAATAGATATACATTGTCCATCAATATTACTGCCCCCCTGAGAACACTTCCTGTCCCCCTCGTTGCTCTGAGCTTGTTATGGCCCTGATGGTTTTGATTCCCTGGTTGTATGTGGCAAGGAGTAGGGTCGCCTGTCCAATCTCGTGGGTTTTCTCCGGGTCCTCCGGAGTCTTCAGCAGAGGGAGGAAACCGGAAAACCCGGAGATAACCCTAATCCTTGTCACATACCACTGACAAGTGGGGAAACTGGCTTGAAAGATCCAGAAAATTATGTAACCAGGAAAGTTCACTAGATTTGATGGGGTCCGTTGAGACAAAGTTCAGTTGACAGCAACACTACAAGGTGCACTTATTTCGATCTTTAACATCCCGCCAATATAATACTTGGACCTCGTTCTTTTCATCTGATCTAAACGACTAGATACTATTTCTCGCCAGGCCCACTGTCCAGCTGTGACATAACACAAAGTTGGAAAATTCAAAGGAACTCTATGAGCCACCACTGGAATTCAAACTCAGGAACTCCTGACTCCTCTTTTAAAGGAACTGAAGTCAGACGCACCCCCCCCCCCTTTTCTTTAAAATTCTGGTACTAATGTTTACATTATTGTGAAATTAAAAAAAAGACAGAATTCAAGTAATAATTTATTCATGATAATTTATAATTTATGATATACACACATTTTTTTCAGCTGTAAATAAACTTTATACAGCATATCAAAATTCACCATCTTTTGTGACAAAATTTGATGATAAAAATGAAATGATTTTCTTCTAACACAACAATAGCAATTTCTCAATAATCTAGAATTTATACAATTTCGCATAAATCTAGAATTTACACAATCTCGCATAAATCTAGAATTTATATAATTTCTTAATAGATCTATAATTTCATAATAAATTTACAATTGATATAATTTCTCAACAGATCTAGAATTTATATTAGTTCTCAATAAATCTAGAATTTATATAATTTCTTAAAAGTCTTGAATTTCTTAATAATCTACAATTTCTCAAAAAATCAAGAATTTATATAATTTCTCAAACAATCAAGAATTTATATAATTTCTCAATAAATAGGTCTAGAATTTAAATAATTTCTTAATAGATTTAGAATTTATATAATTTCTCAATAAATCTAGAATTTTCACAATAATCAAGAATTTCTCAAAACATTTAGACTTTATATAATTTATATAGGATTTATATAATTCCTCAACAGTCTAGAATTTATATAATCCCTCGAAGACATAGAATTTATACAATTTCCCAAAAGATCTAGAAATTATATAATTTCTCAATAATCTAGAATTTATAGAATTCCTCAACAGACATAGAATTTATACAATTTCTCAAAAGATCTAGAAATTATATAATTTCTCCATAGATTTAGAATTTATATAATTTTCATAATAAATCCAGAATTTATATAATTTCTTAAAAAATCTATAATTTGTATAATTTCTCATGAAATTTATACAATTTTCCAATAATCTAGATACATGTAGATCTAGAATTTATATAATTTCTCAATAAGCTAGAATTTCTCAGATCTAGAATTCATATAATATATTCATACTATCAATATCAAACTTTTATAACAATGCACATACAACAAAATCAATTTAATATATATATTTTCTTCATACTTTAAATATTTAACTCTTCACAAATCTTATGTAAAAACAAGAAACTTTTGTAAACAAAAAAATAAATAAATAAAACACCTCGTTCATAAATTTTGTAAGGTCAAAGCTTTTGATAAATAAAATTAGCAGACAAAAAAAAAATTCTTAATAAATAAAGATTTATTTTGTCAGGGTTTTCAGTTTTTTTAATTTATATTTAAATTACATGCTTCTTTATCAGTCCGCGGGCTCATTCACAAAAACGTTAACTAAAATATTTTAAGATATCAACAGTTTCATCCTTCCGTTCTACTACACTAACCCCTGGGAACATTCAAGACAGAGACACATTGTCAAATTATCTGCCCTTGACAACTGTGCTATTTTTTTAACGAACCAATCAAAGAATTCCATATATAATATGCAAGTGGGTGAAGGGAAATAACTCATTTTTTGTTGCAACTAAGATCACCTTGCAACCTTTCTCATAACCGAGTGTACATGCTGCTATATTGTGTTGAACGCAAACAATGATGCTAAGACCGGTATGTAAACTGTTTTTTGATTGGTTCATAGAATAAACCTACATGGCCAAGGAAATCTTAAAGGGCAGATAATTTGAATTTGTGAACACCCCATGAATGGACGCAGGGGTTAGTGGAGTAAAACAGAACTATGCCACTGGGGATAGCAAGGATGCACTTTTATTGGCCAAGAGCTAAAATTTGTATCCTTAAAATAGTTTAGCTTAAGTTTTCGAAGAATTAGGCCCCTGTTCTGTTGGCATCTGGCTTCAATCAAACAAGCAGAAAACAACACATCTCTTTATGCGCACTATCGTGAGGTCAGAGCAGAGCAGATCAGATAAATTGAACACAAGCTTCTTAAAGAGGATAAACGTTTTAAAACAGTGAATTATGTTTATCGGATTTGTGTCTTCCATTAGCAATTATACAACCTCTACATTGCCATTAAAGTTCTGTTTTTAATTGTTAAGCAAAAGTCTTTACAAATTCTTTCATTTTTGGCTTAAATTAGCCTAGTAAGCTACGTTGAAACTTGACCATAAAAACTGTTTCAGTTGTATTTATGGAATAAAATCACAGTTTATTATGTACTGAGTAACGTTTCGACTAGGATTCTCTAGACATAAATCTTTATTTTATATTCCATAGTGTCCTAATTTTGTATAAGATCAGTTATATCTTTAAACTGGTTTTATATACAGAAATAAAATTTAGAATTTAGACAATTTATTAGCCCACAAAACAAATCTACACATAAAATGCTATCAAAATATCAATTTTCGTCTGGACTCAAATTGAAGAGTGATGATCATTTTAAAGTTGCTGCACTACTGCTGTGTATAACAATATTTGGGAAATATTCCCCCCCTTTTTTGAGTTGCTTCCCTTCTTGTTAGTTTTTCAATCCGAGTAAAGTCTGTAGAGAAATGGGGTTTAATGTCCACTCAACACAAACTAGGTCATTTCGGGACTAACACATGGTTCAATTTTATTTCAATAATTGGCTTGTGTGTAGGGGTCTCTAGCAGTGTGGGGGAGGGGGGAACCGGAGGACCCGGAGAAAACCCACAAGGTTGGACAGGCAACCCTACTCCTTGTCATGTACAACCAGGGAATCGAAACCACACCAGTTGACTCAATGACAGACCTTATGATACAGCATGCACATGCTAACCATTCGGCCATGCACATGCTAACCATTCGGCCATCCAACACCCCCTTTAATGTAAAGACTTTTGTTCTTACCACAAAGTGTTATAATGTTATTAAGAAGTTGAATGGTCTGACCTATCCGAAAAAGTTTATATAAAAAAAAAAAAAAAAAAATATAATATCAAGATTTGATCCGTGGCCTTAAGTTACATTGCAATCAATTTTAATGGAATTTCAATTATCATCAATACATTCATTAGCTTTCACTATGTATATTAAATATATCTAAAGATTTTAACCGGTATATATCATGTCATAATGAGCAAGAAAAAAACAAAACAAAACAAAACCTCAAAACTAATTATTCATATACTAATATATTTTCTTGGAATATCTTTCTAACTCCAATATAAACTTTTTACAAATGTCTTTATGTTACATGAAATGAAGGCATAATCTCAAAATCAAAGTTTTATCATTCCATATTTGAAGAATTTAAAAATACACTTAACACACCAAGGGACTTATTCATGAAAATATTTGATGGACTTGGCCTTTTCATTGGTCGAGAGTTAAAATTTTAGTTCTTAGCCAATGAAAAGGTTGTATTCATAAAATTATTTGAGTTTAATTTAAATTGTTGTATAAAGACCATAGAAAAGTGTATGAACTGTAATTAAATAACTACATGTCAATTTAGGCGACTTATACTTGACAAGTGGGAACTAGACCAGTGTTTTTGGCCCATCACACTAGGACATTCTATTTGAGAATTCAGTGCCCTTACAGCTCAATTAACACTGTCCTGACCAAAATATGAGCTCTGGATAACCTTAACTAAGAGTAGCTACTCTTAAAAGGTCCCTATAAAACAAGTTTTTTGGTCTCAATCACTCTAGACAAAATCTTCTCTAATCTGCTTAAAAAGTCCCTACAAAATAAGTTTTCTGGTCTCAATCGCTCCAGACCAAATTGTCTGTAGTTTGTTTAATTTGGATGAATACTATGTTAAATAAACAAAATAATACACACACCATGATATAATCTTTCTTCATATCATAGATTCAAATATCTATATTAAATATAAGTTATAATACAATATAGTCGATTATTTACAAACAATTAATACATGTTATTTGATTTCATCTCTTTTGTTTCGTATAATGTAAGTACTTAAAGGAGTCATCCCAAGTTCAGGTGGAAGCGGACATGAAACTTCCAAATACACTTGATCTTCACTATAGGACGTGTTTCCATGTACACGTCATCCCAAGTTCAGGTGGAAGCGGACATGAAACTTCCAAATACACTTGATCTTCACTATAGGACGTGTTTCCATCTACACGTTTTCACAGCGTTTCACCAATGAAACAGTTGGTTTAATGCAAATGCAATGGGACCGTTTCCATGTAACCAGCGATAATGCGCACGTTTGGATGCCATGCATATTATAGCTATGGAGGCTCTTACACAGCTAGCGCTTTCGTATCTATTACTAGTTTACACAAAGACTTCACGCTGCACGGACTGCACACTTGTTCGTTTGTGGGGTTTTCCATTCATTTCCACCTTGGGTGATATCGCAGACAATCTTGTCATGGTTTAGAGAGAGAGAGAGAAATGGGGTTTAATGTCCACTCAACACAAACTAGGTCATTTTGGGACTAACATATGGTTTAATTTTATTTCAATAATTCGCTTGCGCGTAGGGATCTTTATCAGTGGGAGGAAATCAGAGGACCCGGAGAAAACCCACGAGGTTGGACAGGCGACCCTACTCCTTGTCACGTACAACCGGGGATTCGAAACCACGCCAGTCGACTCAATGACAGACTTTATGATACAGCGCGCACGTTGTCATGGTTTAGAAGCTTATATATTATACATTAGGCATTGATGTTTGGGGTAAACTAGTGTGTCATATAGTGTGCCATGAGGGAAATTTTGCCGGACAGTGGCACTACAGCCTACTCTTATATCGAATTCCAACTGTCAAGGGATCTTTTACGTGCATGCCAATGTGTACACAGGGCCTCGTTTTTTTGTCCCATTCGAACGACTAGACAGCTGTCCTTGTCAGGCCCTCCGTTTTGTATCACTGACAAGGGAGAACCACGCCGGAAAATCTGGATGAACTTTCTCGGCCAATGCAGGGATCGAACACCCGACTTCCAGGCTAGCGAGCCAGCGTCTTACCCACTTAGCCACCGTGATCCCCTGCAAATAAAAGAACCTTTGAAAATTGGGATTCAAATTTCCCTCATGTCACATGACGTATGCTTGTCTTGTTTAGTCCAGTAGATTCAGAAAGGTGGGGACATTAAATATCATTTAATTTTATATTTTAACTATAACTGGGATGGCTCCTTTAATATCCTTTATAATGACAGTTAAACCTCTGTACAAAGGACGCGTAAACTGATTTCCTTATTAGGTCATCATAAAAGGGTTACAAAACAAGTAATTCAATGTTTTACAGTAATTAGAAAACATCAAAAAAAAAAAAATCTACAAATACATTTACATGTATATTGATATGTCTTTTAGTCTTTCTATACATTTGGAAAAAACAAATCCCACCTAGACTGAGTTGTCTGCCCCCTAGATTAAATAAAGGGGCCATAGGGTATATGTGTTGAATAACGTAATCCATAGAAACTAATTTGATTTATATTTCCATGTACCCTTTCAAGATTAATTTTTACCCTTTTCGATACATTCAAAACAACATGATGGTTTATAGCTGGGTCCATAAAAATATTTTGTCAAAAATTGTTAGGTATCTGGGGAAATCCTAGCAACCACAACAGTTACTATGGCTCAAGATATTCAATCGACACATATCTCTTCTATCAGGTTGGATAAACTTTGTTCAATATCCTCCATGCCAGTGAATATATATCTTCACACTCTTAAGTTACCAGTACTCTACATATGTCTACCTTGACTGTGTTGGCCGGCTTTATCGTAAGAAATTATCAGAGTGCACTTTATTAACAACACATGAAAATCACTTCTTGTACCCATTAAACAACATTCTTTGATTTGTCTAATTAGACAACACGGATGTCATCTATGCAAAGCTTGCCTAACCTCCACATTTTCTTCAGTTTCCTTCAACTTGTCATAAAGACCAGATACCTGTACTGATTGGACGATAAACTCCATTCTTCTATCTCTCTAATTTTTTAAAAATCTATCAATTTTCACCCCAATGAATAATAAAGTCAGCAAACACAGTCAAGGTATGACGTGACATTATGAGGATATCATATATATCACAGTTCTTTTCCAGTCTGACTTTCATTCATGCAATTAAATTCTAGAAATTATGACAATTATTTCATTCATTTATTTCTTGTGAATAAGAAATAAAACATTTGTAACAGAAAAAAAAATAAAATTTTAAATTTAGTTACATTTTATTTTTAAGTGCTGGAAAATCAAGTGTAAAACTTTCTGTTAAATCGACATAGTCAAAGGCACGTTCTTTTTTACCAGTTACTTCAAAATCGTCCCTGTTTATGTAATTTGTCAATCTGAGATTTGTCACGTCAGACATTTTTATCAAATAATGGGCCAACTTTGTCTCAATTAATAAATCATTTTTAAGTGTTTGTACACATAAAAACTATAACGGTATTTATTGTGCTTAACGTCAGATATTTTTATCAAATAATGTAGTATTAATTATTTCAATCAATAAATCATTTGTAAGTGTTTTTTCCACATAAAAAAAAACCTATAAATTTAAATGGTATTTATTTTGTTTTAAGATAAAAATTCTTTGATATGACATATAAATGGACTGACGGATAAACTGTCCCGTCGACCGATCAATTTCAGTGATCCAAATGAGAGACCTGGCAGTGCCTAAAACATTATAACCAAATTTTATTCTCGTTAAAGATGCATTATGTGAGAGCTAAATCTGCCCATTGTACCAGTATATCTTTTTTGGAGCTTCAATGTTATATAAATTATTATTCAGACAAAATGAAAATGAAATGAAATGGGGTTTAACGTCCTACTGTTCTGCTACAACTGGGTTAATGAAGACAGACACAGGCCATACAGTGTACCATGAGGGAAACAGTGCCCGGACAGCAGAGCTACGACCTCACCTTATATCAAATTCCAACTGCCAAGGGATCTTTTACATGCATTTTACATGCAGGCCAATGTGTACACAGGACCTCAGTGTTTTCATCCCTCCAGGCCATCCCTTCTGCACCACTGACAAGAGGAAACCACGTCGGAAAATCCCAATGAACTTCCTCGAACACCTGACATCCAGGCTAGCAAGCTAGATTATTTAGACATTTATTCACATGACAAGCCAACAATCAACTCTCTAGGCCATCCGATGGCTTAGATATTGAATGGATTAGCACAAACTCGCGAGATAATAAGTTAACCATAAAATAGATAATCAAGAGTTTGTTTATCATCGTTGCAATGATACTTGACAATGGAGACTATCTTTTCATAACTTCGCACAGAATAAAGTAATCTAAATAAAATTTTCAGTTAATTCATTTTTCATTATTTATTTTTTGGACTATCATATAAAAGAATGAACAGTTCTTTATCTAAAGCTTACATAATGCAAGAGAGAGAGAAATGGGGATAAACATCTACTCGACACAAACCAGGTAATTTCGGGACTAACATATGGTTCAATTTTATTTCAATAATTCTTTAGCAGTTGGAGGAAACTGAGGATCAGGAGAAAACCGTTGAAGTTGGACAGGCAACCCTACTCCTTGTCACGTACAACCAGGGAATCGAAACTACGCTAGTTGATTCAATGACAGACCTTAGGATACAACGCACATGCGTTAACCATCCCCGACCCTGACCCTCGTACATAATGCATCCTTAAACCTACAATCAAAATGATATTTAAATGAGTAAACTTGATAGACACCCATCAAATCTTTCTACAGTTCCGTTTTGTAATATACTAGAACTGCTCTTATTATCGAATCTCTTTAAAATATAGGGGCCTGTTTCACAAAATTTTAACTAAGATAAAATCCAAATTTTAGTAATTTCATCGGATAATATTAGATTGATTTTAGTGCTTATCTACTAAAATTTGGATTTTATCTTTTATTAAAATTTCGAGAAACACGGCCCAGATCTATATTTCGTTTCGTTTTTTTATACTTTCGATGGCCTCTACTACATGAAGATCTGACCGGTTGTACTGGAAGGTCGCGTCAGGGGTGATTTACCCAAGAACTTGCCATAACAGACTGTTTCATTGGCTAATCCCTCACATTATCCAAGACGCGGGTTATATAACAACTCTTCCAGATCCTAGTGTAGTAACGACAAGTAAAACTAAATTTTGAACTATAAAAAACAAAATGAAATAGGATCTGTGTTGTAATCAGATTGGCTATTATCATATTTTTTTTTCTACAAATATATACAAACAAATTTGATGATACAAACTCACCATTTTAAGCAAAAAAAAAAAAAAACACATGTACATCGTACCCCACATTTTCAAAGATATAAATAAAAAATAATCTAGGATTGCGTTCATATTTTGATCACTCCGTGACATCTATAATTAAGTTTTACATTTAAAAATTATATAACCATCCTTTAATATTATCATTCCTCACATGAAAGCCTGGTATATGGGCAGGTCCACTGGCAAATTTGCAGAATGAGAAACCATAAATCCAATGAATCTCGAAAAATGACATGTTATACGATACAGACCTGGCATTTTTTTTTAAAAATAAATTTTCATCGGAAACTACTTCAAATCATTTCTAAAAAAATAATTTTCTACTTTAAACCTTTTTTTTAAAAAATATTCTACACATGAAAGCCTAGTATGAGCATTCCCACTGGCAAATTCGCAGAATTAGAAACCATAAATACAACGAACCCGAGAAAATGCTGTGTCAGGCCTGGCTTTTTTTAAAATAAATTTTCATTGTAAACAGCATCAAATAACTACCTTAAATCATTTCTAACAAATCATTTTCTACTTTAAACCGAACTAAGTCTGTTTACATACATGTATATGTATATATACACAATCTTTCTTCAAAACGGTATCCAAGTGAATATATATATATTTATACTCCTAAAATTATATCGTAACCATGGTGACTATTATAAACATCCTAGTAACCGCCTGCCAACCATCACACTCACACAATAATCACGTACATCAGTATTACAGTCTATGTACAACATGTACAATATTTTACGTTATAATATTTGAAGTGTTTTCTCTCTCTTTTTTTTTTTAATTGTCTGTGGTTCAAAAATAATGTCATGGCACTAAGGGTCTCGTTCGTCTGAATTCAGATTCTCTGCGCTCGCTGTACGGCCGATTTCTTGAACTATTTCTGCGTGTTCGTTTAATAACTTTTCAAAATCCTTTTGTCTTTGTTCAGCTGACTCCTGAAAAAAATGAAATAACATTTAGAGTTTTAAAGATACAATTCTCACGAAAATATTTGTAGTGTACTTATTTCCAATAAAAGTATGGCAAATTTCGTATAACTGGAAATAGAGACAACCAATCTCACTAGGAAAATACTGGATTCCCTGAAAAACACCCATGAGGCAAGCATTCGGCAAAACTGTCAGGGCATTACTCACTGTCAGCCTGATGACTTATTGTCTGCCAGCTTCACTTATGGAGCAGTTGAATGGTCAGGTGCTTTTGGGAACATTGAGAGGTTTAAAGTACAATAGACTCTGCAATTAACGGCGGAAAAAGGTGTTGGCAGAAGATAATACAAGAATTTACTCAGGCTTCAATATGTATGGTAAATGGAGAGAGAGAGAGAAATGGGGTTTAACATCCACTAGGTCATTTCGGGACTAACACATGGTTTAATTTTATTTCAATAATTCACTTGCGCATATGGGTCTTTAGAAGTGGGAGGAAACCGGATGACCTGGAGAAAACCCACGAGGTTGGACAGACGACCCTACTCCTTGCCACGTACAACCCAGGATTCGAAACCACGCCAGTTGACTCAATGACAGACTTTATGGTACAGCATGCAGTCTAACCATTCGGCCACCCAACCCCCCGTATGGTAAATGGACAGTAAGTAATAACAAATACATTCTGAAAATGGACCCTAACTCAATCAAGTTATGTGACAAACATGGTTTCTAAAAGTAGATGCTTTATATCTTGGGGGTATTTTCCAATGAATACAATGTTTTGAAATGGGGTTTAATGTCCTACTGTTCTGCTCCAAACTGGGCATACATCATACAGTGTGCTATGAAGGAAATTTAGCCTGGAAAGCCGGCACTACGGCCTACTCTTATATCGAATTCCAACTGTTAAGGGATCTTTTACATGCACGCCAATGTGTACATGGGACATCGGATTTTCGTCCCATGCGAATGACTAGAAAGCTGTACTTGTCAGGCCGTCCATCCTGCATCACTGACAAGGGGGGTACTACGCCGGAAAATTGGGATGAACTAAATTAAATGCCGATGTTGTATATGTATCTATCTAGCTGGATTTTTTGTCATATTTTTAGGGCCTCTTTTTGGCAAGTTTTTGTGCCATGGTCAATTCACCCTAGGAAAAAACTGTGTGGGTCACCACTTTCCTTTGGTGTCCTAAGCACATGCTTTTAATGGTGAGTACTGAGGAGTAGGCAATAGAGAAAATACCAAAATTAAGTGGCCCTATTACTTATCAAGTACCATATGATTTAACACTCAAACAGACTGAAGAGACATTCGGCAGTGGTTTAGACCTTTCCACCATCCATTCAAAACAGGAATAAAGACAGACATAGAGAGAAATGGAGTTTCATGTCCACTTGACACAAACTAGGTCATTTCATGACTAATATATGGTTCAATTTTATTTCAATAATTCGCAGTGGGAGGAAACCGGGGAATCGAAACCATGCCAGATGACTCAATGGTAGACTTTATGATACAGGGCGCAAGCGATAACCATTCAGCCATCCAACCCCTTTAAGAGTAGAAGGAAATCAGAGAAAACCCATGAGGTTGGACAGGTAACCCTTCTCCTTGTCACATACAACTGGGGAATTGAAACCATGCCAGATGACTCAATGATAGACTTTATGATGCAGGGTGCAGGCGCTAACCATTCAGCCATCCAACCCCTTTAAGAGTTGAAGGAAACCAGAGAAAACCCTTAAGGTTGGACAGGTAACCCTACTCCTTGTCACATACAACTGGGGAATTGAAACCACGCCAGTTGACACAATGACAGAACTTATGATCTAAAGCGCATGTGTTAGGCCATTTCACCATCCATTAACCAAGAAATCAATAAATAGTCCAGTACAGGATAAACAGATGGAGAGAGAGAGGTTTGAAATGAAATGGGGTTTAATGTCCTACTGTTTTGCTCCGAACTGGGCTAATAAAGACGGGCATACGCCATACAGTGTGCTATGTATGAAAATTTGGCCGGACAGCGGCACTATGGTCTACTCTAATATCGAATTCCAACTGTCAAGGGATCTTTTACGTGCACGCCAATGTGTACACGTACCTCGGTTTTTCGTCCCATCTGAACAACTAGACAGCTTTCCTTGTCAGCCCCTCTCGTCCTGCATCACTGACAAGGGAGAACCACGCCAGAAAATCTGGATGAACTTTCTCGGGCAATGCAGGGATCTTCGCCACTTAGCCACCGTGATCCCCTAGGGAGAGGTTTAACCTGCACTCAACACAAAAGCTAGGTCATATGGTTCAATTTTATTTCAATATTTCGCTTGGAGGAAACCGGAGAACCCAGAGAAAACCCACAATAACTCAATAACAGACCTAGTGATTTCATGCGCATGCATTAACCATTAGACCATCCAACACCCCCCCCCCCCAATGCAATCAGAATCAGGCAGACAAAACTTACCTTTACGGTAGCTACATAGGCTTCAGATGCTTTGGTCTTACTAAGTTTTTCAACTATGGAAGCTTTGCGTACTTTTCCTCTAGGTATATCCTCTGAAAATAATAATTAAGTCATCATAACAGGTGCTTCTTTATATACAATTAAATACAAAATAACAGCAGCAAGATACCAGAATAAATGTGAAGTGGCATTAGGTGTTCTAGAAAGAAATATATCATGCCTTCAGCATATGATAAGAAATTAAAGATACATTCTCATGGAAGTATTTATAGGGTAGCTATTTCCAATAAAAGTATGGCAATTTTGGTATATATGGAAAGTAGAGGCGCCCAATCTTACTAGAATAATACTGGATTCCCTGAAAAACTGTCAGTCGGACGGCTTATTGTCTGTGAGTCTCGCTTAGTTAGGGAGCGATTGTTATTTCTTGAACGAACGGTTAGGGGTGTTTGGGAACATTGAGGGGATTAAATGTACAACAGACTCTGCAATTAAATGGCAGAAAAGGAAGATGGCAGAAGATAATCCAAGAATTTACTTGGGCTTCAATTTGTATGGTAAATAGACAGTAAATAATGACAAATACATTCTGGAAATGGATCCTGCCTCAATCAAGTTACACGACAAACATGGTTTCTAAAAATAGATTTTTTATATCTTGGGGTATTTCCTTGTGAATACAATGTTTTGAGAGGGATTTGTGGCAAATTATTGATAGATTAATTAGTTTGAATATGGCAGACTAAGCAGGTTTTGGTCAAGAAAGATCCTGAGTATTTTTCACCATGGGTTCGCCTTGTCAGTAGTGCACGACCACAGTAAGAACATTTTTTATAAGTGGCATTTGAGTATTTAGTTTCGTATTTAATTGATATGGCCACGCATGCGTGTCAGACAGGAACTACTCAAGGGTATTGAGAAAAACATGTCTTTGTTCAACATTTTTTGACAAAAAATGTAATCTTTTAATGATGTCGAGAAGGTTAAAGACTCCCAAGGTAGTTAAAATGCTTATGAATGATTCCGACTCGGATTATATCGATGACACCGATTCTGAAGACAATATTTCTGATGAAAATAATTTTAAAAACGAGAGACAATGTGCAAATTATAGATCAACTTATCCCTTTCAACTTTTTTTATTGGTGTCAAGAGTCTATTACTTATAATTATCCGCCGATCTGGGCTCACACTGTCGGTCTCCAAAGTCGCAATTTGCGATAAAAATATGAATGTGGCGATTAAAATTTGATTTTGGCGATAATTTAGGCGATGATTTTTTGCAGTACTGGTGATTCTTTTTGAGAACTGGTGGAAAAAATCACGTGGCGGGATACTATAAATTAATCAACTGGTCGCCGATAATCCTGATCGCGTCAATGAGTAATACTAATCAGTTGTCTTGGATTTATGATTAGTTGATTGATAATTGCGAATGATATATTTATATATATATATATATATATAGCCAAGTCACAATTTACTCCTAATGATTAATCAAAGCAGTGATTATTTGATGTTTTGTTCGTTTCGTCTTAAAAAAGAAAATGATTATACATGTAATCAAAATGGCCGACAGTTCCTTGCAAGGTTGGACTAAGTGTATATATATATGTATATGCATGCTGTCCTTAATGGAGGGAGAGGGAGGGAGAGAGAGAGAGAGAGAGAGAGAGAAAGAGAGAGAGAGAGAGAGAGAGAGAGAATGGGGTAATTTAATGTCCACTTGACACAAACTAGATCATTTTGGGACTAACATATGGTTCAATTTTATTTCAATAATACGCTTGCGTGGAAGGAGTCTTTATCGGTGGGAGGTAACCGGAGGTCCTGGAGAAAACCCACTAGGTTGGACATGCGACCCTACTCCTTGTCATGTACAACTGGGGAATCGAAACCATACCAGTTGACTCAATCACAGACCTTATGATACAGCGAGCACACACTAACAATTCGGCCATCTAAAATCCCTTATGTAAATACTGAATGGAATTGAAGTTCATTAACCCTTTCTAAATTCTCAGATATTATTTCTTATGATCATTTTTGTCAGTCTTGAGATTTATTCCTCCATACCATTTTAATTCTATTCTTTATTTTGCACTTTTATTATCTTGAATGAATAATTTCATGTACTTATGTTTTTGTAAGTTTACGTAATGTGTGTCAGTCTTTTTACATTATGGTAAGACAATATGTTGTAACCAAACTATTTTTGGACTCATATTCCTTTTACAGATTTAACATTCACAATACTGTATTAAAAGTCACTCTGACCATCCGAGAGAGGAAGATTGGGTTTAACACGTCCATTCGACACAAACTAGGTAATATTGGGACTAACACACAGTTCTGTTTTATTTGAATAATTTGCTTGCATGTAGGGGTCTATAGCATTTGTAGGGGTCTATAGCATATTGAGGAATTTGAAGGACGCGGAGAAAAACCCCGAGCTTGGACAGACAACCCTGCTCCTTGTCACGTAGGTCATTTCGGAACTAAGATATGGTTTAATTTTATTTCAATAATTCGCTTGCGTGTAGGGGTCTTCAGCAGTGGGAGGAAACCGGAGGACCCAGAGAAAACCCACGAGGTTGGACAAGCGACCCTTCGCCTTGTCACATACAACCGGGGATTCGAAACCACGCCAGTTCACTCAATGACAGGCTTTATGATACAGCGCGCACATGCTAACCATTCGACCATCCAACCCCCCCAGTAAAAGGAGCCACGGTGGCTAAGTGAGTAAGATGCTGGCTTGCTAGTCGGAGGTCTCAGGATTGATCCGGGTGTGCATCGTGATTTTTCGGAGTGGTTTCTCCTTGTCAGTGGTGCAAGACGGAGGGCCTGACAAGGACAGCTGTGTAGTTGTTTGGATGGTATGAAAAATCAAGGTCCTGTGTATACATTGGCGTGCATGTAAAAGATCCCTTGGCAGTTGGAATTTGATATAAGAGTAGGTCGTAGCACCGCTGTCTGGGCAAAATATCCCTCATAGCACACTGTATGATGTATGCCCGTCTTCAGTAACCCAGTCTGAGCAGAACAGTAGGACATTAAACCTCATTTCATTTTCATTAATTCAAGTCCCTTGTATATAAGGAATACATCTTTAATCCTATCATATTTGCACAATAGCTAAATCTCTGGCTTATTTTGTCAAGGTGATCCATTGACGTCATACAAACCTCAAATCAAACAGACTTTGACATAAAAAGGTCACGTATACAATAATGGGTTTTTTTTTCAAGATTTATAATTAAATTTATCACAAGGTAATATATTTTTTTTATATGAATACACTCTACTCAAATATGTTAATGAGTTTTCAAATATTTATTATTTATTTTATTATACAATAAAACCTTGTCAATCTGACCACCTCAAGAAATCTACTGACTGTGAAAATGGGACGATTTTCTAATCCCATTTTTTGTTTTTTTGTTATAAATAGGAGCCACCAGGTGGTTGGCCTAGAAAGGTTGCTTGGGATTATTCAGTATCAGGATCTACCTATCGGTAGAGCAGGATGAAGGGTATGACAAGAAAGAGAGAGTGAGAGAAATGGATATTAAAGTCCACTCAACAAAACCTATTTCATTTTGGGACTAACATATAGTTCAGTTTTATTTCTATAATTCGCTTTTGCGTAAGGGTCTTAGGGGTCTTTAGCTTTGGGCAGAAACTGGAGGGACTAGAGAAAACCCACAAGGTTGGACAGGCGACCCCACTCCTTGTCCGGTACAAGCGGGGAATCAAAACCCTCTGCATGGCAAGAAACCTTGACAATTGAATTTGATGAAGAGTGGGCAAAATTGTTGATGTCTGGCAAAATTACCCGCTTAGCACACTGTATGGCATGTGCCCATCTTCATGAGTCCGGTCAAAGCAGGACATTAAACCCCATTTCATATCAATTTATCAACCTCGATAATGTGATAATTGCAAATTGTCTATATTTTAAACAGAAAGGGTTTAACATAATATCAATGCATCTCATCGTGCAAAACCTCACCCACATAGGTCTGATATTATTCTTAAATGACATTCAACATTCTAATTTATTGATTGTACAATTCTTTTTGAACATTTTTAATGGTCAGATTACAGAGGTTTTACTGATTAACCAGCCATCGTCTTACTCACTGTGCCACCGCAGCTCTGGTCAGATTAGAGAGGTTTTACTGTATATCTGTTCACATAAAATCGATCATATTTTTTTTAGTCCAATTTTTAATCTGTTTATAATTATTATAATACCTGGTCTATGTCCTAACTAGCATGTCTTTCAAGGTACGTTAATCACAACAAGGTGTGAAACCTGAGAATATGCAAAATAAACCGACAGAAAAAACAATGAGAAAAACCTCATCAACTCTGTGTGTTAAAAATAACATTGACCTTAATATGTCCTTGGAAAAAAATGTCAACAACCTTAATAGGCAGTCTAAAGGCCAAACATATGTTTTTAACCAAAGATATTTTATTATAGTATGTTAGTAATTTAATAAAATCATTGAAAAATCATTTTATCTACAAATATAGACACTGAAAAAGTTGGTTTTGTTTGCAAATCAGGCTTCCAATTTTTTTAATTTTTTTTAAAAAAACTATGTTAGCTGATTGTTTAATATTGCAATGAGATACATAGATCAAGAAATGGGGTTCAACGTCTACTCGACACAAACCTGGTCATTTCGGGACTAATATATGGAGAAAACCAACGATGTTGGGCACGCGATCCTACTCTTTGACATGTACAAGCTGATAATCAAAAAACCAAGCCATTTGTGTATGAAATAGCTAAGTCACTTGACTTAATGACAGAGAAGAGAAGAGAGAGATGGGGTTTAAGGTCCACTCGACACAGACCAAGTCACTTCGGGACCAACATATGGTTCAATTCCATTTCAACAATTCGCCTGCACGTAGGGATCTTTAGCAGTGGGATGAAACCGGAGGACCTGGAGAAAATCTACGAGGCTGGAAAGGCGACACTACTCCTTGTCACATACAACCGGGGATTCAAAACCATGCTAGTTGACTCAATGACAGGCCTTATGATACAGCGCGCACGTGCTAACCAATCGGCCATCCCCCCCCCCCGACTCAATGACAGACCTTATATTTCACGTGCACGCGTTAAACCACTAGAAATGAAATAAAATGGTGTGTAACATCCTACTGTTCTGCTGGGCATAACATAGTATTTTTAATTAAAAAAAAGGTTGCAGGTTTATCCCTTCATGCAGAGACTCGAAAAGGTTTTTTGTATTACAATATTATGCATTTTGATAAACAAATCTACAGCAGTGACTGAATTTGTCCTTGCCTCAAATAAGGATAACTAATGGATGATATTTTTTTTTTAAAATAAATTAATAATAACAATATTGCTTCTTTTGATAATCAAGTCTACAGCTAGCTGTGGAGGAACTATTGCTTTCTGTTACAAATGAAAACTAATGGAGGTCATAAGATTGACAGCTAACATTAGGCTGACCTTAAAAATATCTTTGTTTCGCCTAACGCGACCGACTAACTAAAACCACCCCCGACTTAAATTATTTTATTGCACTTTTCCGCGATCTTTTTATTTTATTTTGTGTGTCAACCTGAAATATATCACGAGAGTTATTTCCCTTTACTATGGCTATGGTTTGATTCATTATTGAAACTGGTTGATCAAGACGAAAGCGTCATAGGTGTCGCTTCTCAACAAAATGGTTGCAGACGAAAGCACGTCCATTCCCACGAAATGATTCTGCCTCTATGTCTGTGGGGCGTCGTTTTAAACATGACGACGATATTTTCAATATCCGTTTTCGAGAAAAATAAAGGCACAACCCGCACAATCGTTAAAAACGTGTTGAGGGAGTTTCAAACGTGAGTTTGTCGCAATTTGTGTGCGAGTCGTGCATCAAGAAAAATCCCGATGTCATTGATTTGTTTGCCAATAAAAGAAGATGAATGTTTGCACCCGGAAAATTATCAAGCTGTCAAATTAGCTCTTAAAAAAAAAATCTGAAAAAAAACCCCGACCTACCGACCCTTCTCCTCGATTGTGGGTCGGGTTTGGTGAAACAAAGATATTTTTAAGGTCAGCCTTAGCATGAGAAATGGTATGTAACTTCGCATTTGTCATGCTAATTCATTGTGTGGGTGGTGATGAAAAGAAATGGGTTTAACATTCTATTCGGCTCCCCTATTCACAAAATTTTAACTAAGATAAAATCCAAATTTTAGTAGATACTTCAATTTTGATTGGCTAAGCACTAAAATCAATCTGATATTATCCAATCAAATTACTAAAATTTGGATTTTATCTTAGTTAAAATTCCGTGAAACAGGCCCCTAGGCCATAGGCCTTCCGTCCTGTACCACTGACAACAGGGAACCAACACCAAGATCAAACAGTGCATCGAGTCAACATCCAACTCACTGAGATACTGCGGCTCCCGGGGTGATGATGAAACAATTTCACAAGTATTACCCGGTAAACATTGTCTCACATTTTCTTTATTTCACAGCTTGACAGGTTTTTTTTCAAAGAATATAAAAAATTGGTTTATCTTTATTTCAATTTATAAATTTTAAAGTTTTGAGGAATTTCTTTAAGAGGGGAGGTTGAGGGGGCTTAGATGGCCGAATGGTTAGCACGTCCACGCTGTATCATGAGGCCTGTCATTGAGTCAACTGGCGTGGTTTCGAATCCCCGGTTGTAGGTGACAAGGAGTAGGGTTGCCTGTCAAACCTTGTGGGTTTTCTCTCAGTCCTCCGGGTTGCTCCCTCTGCTAAAGAAACCTATGCGCAAGCAAATTATTGAAATAAAATTAAACCATATGTTAGTCCCGAAATGACCTAGTCTGTGTCGAGTGGACGTTACCAGTAAAAAAATTTATTCAACAGCTTTAAAATTTAAAAGAACAGATTTTCGGGTAGCCACACCCTAAAGACATATAAACACTATTAAATTTAACTATTATTTAAAATTTTTTAAAATTATAATTTTAAGGTATAAAAACAAAAATTTATATGGGAAACAATCATTGATTTTATTTCACACTAGCTATTATACTGTCATTACTTACTTGAGAACGACAAGACGAACTTGTTGAAACATAGTGTGAAATAAAACTCAGTGATTGTTTTCCATATAAATTTGTGTTTTTATATTATATGTTCAACTACTAAAATGCCGTATAATGATTTTATAATTTTATGGAAATGAAAATTGGTTCACAGTCCAGTTCTTCAGATAATTATGTGAATTAAGATAAAAAAAAAAATGATAAAAAATGAGAATCTTTAAGCCTGATTGAAACTAATTTAACCCATTATGTTTTAAAACTTAAACTGCTGGCGTTCTATCTCAAGATTCAAAAATAACCATTACTTCCATGTCTCTAGAATATTTCATCTATCCAGAAACTATCAATTGACCATTCCTTGTAACCATGACGATGTGAGTCTTCTTTATTAGTTCCAGAGATTAGTTTATTACGCACATATCAAAGACACTAAAGACATGTCATATTAACCTATGGTCCGAGTACGGGAATTAAACCCTCCCATGTACAATATTACTAGACACATTAGATTAGTTGGTTATACGATGACCCCTACTATAACCAGGGGTCATGACCGATGACTATTGTCTGGGTATAAAAGGGATATTAACATCCTATGGTGAGGTAATACAGGTTAACGAGCTAGAATTATACACCTGTATTAATAGGTATTATATACTTAAAGGGAATTAAATAAAATGGGGTTTAATATCCTACTTTTCTGCACTGACTGAACTAATTACAGTACATAAACAAAAGAGCCGCTCAACAATATCTGACGATGTAAACAGTGTTAGTGTCTCTTTTGTTTATGTACTTTAATATTTATCGAGTGAAGAACACTTCCGTATCGGATCCTTCGATCCATTGTTTTCATATTCCTGTTAAGATGCGGATTCTACAGGAGTTTTGGACTAATTAAGACAGAAATACACCATGCAGTTTGCTATGTATTAGGGAAATTTTGAAACTATTCTGAGATTCTGATGTAAAAAGTGTGGAAAAAAAAGAGAATGAAATTAGAAATGAAATGGGGTTAACGTCCTACTGTTCTGAATCAACTGGGCTAATGAAGACAGACTTACTCCATCCAATGTCCTATGAGGAAAATTTTGCCCAACAGTTGCACTAGAGCCTACTCTGATTTCGAATTTCGACTGTCAATGGATCTTTTACGTGCACACCAATGTGTACACGGGACCTCGGTTTTTCGACCCATCCGAACGACTAGACAGCTGTCCTTGTCAGGCCCTCCATCCTGCATCACTGACAAGGGGGAACCATGCAGGAAAATCTGGATGAACTTTCTTTTATGTGCACACAAATGTGTACATGGGACATTAGTTTTTTGTACCATCTGAATGACTAGACACTGTCCTTGCCAGTTTCTACAATCCACATCAGAAAATCCTGTGGAACTTTCTCTTCCAACTCGAGAGAAATGGGGTTTAACGTCCTCTCGACGTCTTTAGGAGTGGGAGGAAACTGGAGGACCCGAAGAAAACCCAGGAGGTTGGAAAGGCAACCCTACTCCTTGTCACATACAACTGGGGAATCAAAACCACGCCAGTTGACCCAATGACAGACATTATGATTCAACGAGCGCTCACCATTTGGCCATCCAACCCCGCCCCCCCCCCCCTCTGCCAACTCAAGACCTCCTGGTCAGAGAGCCTGCTGCTAATTCACAGAGCCCCTGTGACTTCCAAATCCAGTTCCTTTCCAATTTGTTTTTTTACAAATAAGCATAACTTACCTGGAGCAATTTCACTTTCATTATCATTGACATCGATTTCCACTTCTGCTGTGGCGCCATCCACGTCTTCTAATCCTAATGTTATATCGGCTCCACTATTCGATGTTTTTAATGGACGCATTTTGCGAGTTTCTTCAGGATGCAAAAGGATGGAACTATCTCTATGTGTCTCTGTCGTCGCCATACTTTTATCACTACTGAAATTTGAGGCTGATTTATCGTCCACTTTTTGTAAACTTCCTTGATTTTTCTCCGTCTGACGAGCAATATCTTTTAATTCTGTACTAGGGTATGTGTTGTGGACACTGGTTGTGGAAACTGGCATGGAAATATTTGCTTCTGATTCTGAAAATACAATAATTAATAATAATTCTTTATTTAATCAATTAACATCAAGCAATTAACAAGATTTTTAATTGGAGAGGAATACAGGCCACACCAATATCATTTTCTGTTTTTCGGAAACATCTTTATATATATTTCTTAGGGAAAAAGATTAATCTAAAAAGTACTTATTTGCACTGTTCAAAAGCTTTAAGTTCCAAAAAACAAAACATGTTTCACAGCATTCAAGCTCCTATTTATTTATTAAATCCCCCAAAATTAAAACTTAAAAGGTTTGGCCTAAGAGTAGCAACAATATATAATCTCAATACACTATTCAAAATGGGGTTTAACATCCTACTGCTCTGCTCCGACTGGGATAATGAAGACGGGCATACACCATACAGTGTCTATGAGGGAAATTTTGCACGGGCAGCGGCACTGTTGCCCCAATCTTATATCGAATTCCAACTGCCAAGGGATCTTTTACGTGCATGCCAATGGATAGACAGTATATAAACTGATTTACATTCAATCGTTTCTGTTTTTACTGTAATTTCTAATCAGTTATGTTAGGCGAAATACACCAGAAGTCTCATGTGAATGGCAATCTTTAGCGTCTGGTTTTTCCAGTCTACACCGATGGTATCTATTGCGTATGCTTGCCAGATAAGAATATAGCGTCACCATTTATTGACATGACTTGTGGAATATGTCTAGCCCTGTTCTTTGAGTCCTTTGTTCCAAATGGCGCTGAAACACATTATGGTACACGATTCGTGACGATTCGTGTACCAATGGTAAAATGTTTATTTTCTCTTGAATATTTGATATCAGAAGCCCATCTTTTCCCAGTAAGATCACAAGACCAATGTTGATTTGAATTGACAAATAATTTGTGTTTTCAATGTCGAAGATTTTTGATGATATTGAGTTAGAGACTTAGCTACTTTAAAATTAAATAGGTTTGGCCTAAGAGTAGCAACAACTCATAATTTTATTCATTTCCCCAAAATGTGTGGAATGGATCTAATTATGTTGATTATTACCAAGATCAACAGGTGAAGTACATGTTACAGAAGTAATATGATAAGCATTAAGGGCTCGTTAGCAACGGCTATATTTAGCAATAATGGCTGATTATTTTTATTGATTTGTACCAATATAGCTACTCTTCACTGATATCCAGCTGTCAAGGTTGGGGTGTTTTTTTTACGTGAAAGACAACAATTACACAGATGGACTAGATATTTCGTCCCATCCAATATTCTGAATACTGCATCACTGACAAGGAAAAGCAGGCAGGAAAATATAAGCATTATGGTGTGATACAAATAAAAGGTTCGCACCCCCCCCTGCAAAACAAATTGTCGACCATGAAAAAAATATACATTGTCCGTCAATTCTACAGCACCCCTGAATATACTTCCCGCTCCCCTTGTATCTCTGAGCTAGTTATAGCCCTGATTCATTGTGTTAATTTTAATGTTTTATCAACAGAAGTATTATATATTTAGTTTAATAGAAGTTCCTTCTAAACCGTTAAATATTGTCTTATAAATTAAACCCCCTTCTACACCCAGACAGCAGAATTTCTGCATACCTTCTTAAATTTCCAACACCACTGTGCTGAATTTTTGCTCCCATCTGAACTAATGGTCAGAGGCATAAAATTCCTTTCCAAGACTCTCCATCATGGCACTGAGTCGACCCCAAAATCAACATTACAGTGGTGAAGAGGTTGTATTACATGGATAAATAGTTCATCAAAATCTAGAAAACTGGAGTCCCAATCAACGGTTACAAGATATCCCCGATCTTTAGAGAACCAACAGACCATCACACAAGGTATTAATGATATATTTAGCACAATAAACGGAGGTTATTTTAAGGTTGAAATTAGTTTAATGTATCACAAACATAAAGTGATAGTCCCTTCAGTCAAAACAGGTCAAAATAAAATTGTATTGCATTTAAGCATTATGATAATTGTCTACAGTAATTGAAATACAATGTATCCTTGTCGAAAATTTGAATAGTAATAAATTTGGTCGTTCGTTTCATCGTCTGAAATCCAAGGCTTCAGAATCAACATCAAAATCTAAGTCCTAAGTTAAGGCATTAGTCTCATAATCTGAATCTAAGTCCTTAGACATCTGAATTTTACCTCCTTAGTTAAAGCTGTAGTTTCAACATCTCAAATATAAGGCTGTGTTTTCAACATCAGAAATATAAGGCTGTAGTTTCAACATTTGAAATCTAAGTCCTTAGTTTTCAGAATTGAAATCCAAGTTGAACATTTGAAGTTTTTAGTTTCAAAACCTGAAATCCAAGTCCAAATGATTTCCCTATTTAACTATGAGTAGTGGTGGATGTTGAGTCAGGGTATGCATATTGCATACTCTTTCTAGAACACCTGGTGTAACTTTTCTTTTGAGAAGCTAACAATTTGTTCTATGTAAGCCTTGGCTGATATAAATTGAAAAAGATTTTTGTTTTGTTTTAAAATAATATACTAAATGGGATCATCACTTTAAATTAATCAGGCTATGCTGCAGGATTCTATTATAGTTATGTCTCAACAAGTTATTAAAGATCATCTCTATAGCCTGTGTATTTATGGTTCATGACAAGCTATATAAAACACTGAATAAACATTTACTTTTATAGTTAAAACACTAAAAGGAAACAGACATTTTTTAAAATGGTATGATCAGACATTAAAATATGTCAGATCTATTTTTATAAAGGATTAGACTTACGGGTTAGAATTTACAAAGTGTAAGGGCCAGGCTTTTCAAGGTGTAAGCGATAGACTTTACAAGGTGTAAGGACTATAGGCTTTACAGGGTGTAAGTGTTCGACTTTACAAGGTTCTACCCCTGACAATAGGCTCAACCCCTGACAACAGGCTCTACCTCTTGACAACCGGCTCTACCCATGACAACTGGCTCTACCTCTTGACAATAGGCACTACCTCTTGACAACATGCTCTACCCCTGACAACAGGCTCTACCCCTGACAACAGGCTCTATCCCTTGACAACCGACTCTACCCTTGACAACTGAGAACTGGGCTAGAAAATTCACCAAAATCAATCTTTATTTGGCTCAGTTTTTGATTTAAAAAATAGATTTTAATATTTCAAACAATCTGTCACTCATAGTAGGATTGAAACCACTACATCAGATCTGAACCTGACCACAATAAATTTCAATCAACAATCCAATTAACACAAGGATGACCTGCTTGGCTGTTATAATACAAAATCCATCCGTGAAGAAGGAACCAGGCTTGATACTCAACGACCAAATAAGTAGGCAAGTCACTGGTAATCGGATGAAGACAATTAATTCCAATGAAAATGATGTACACACAAACGTCCAGCTCTAGCAGACAGCCACAGCAGATATAAATACGGTTCATTTCTGTTTATCATTTGGCTTGTTCGAAGACACAACTACCATGTTATTGTTGATAATCGTCAAGGTTAGGGTTAGGGGTGGGAGTCTGTTCTCTGATATACCATGGCCAATTAATCTGGCAGATTTTAATTTCGTTTTTTTAGTATGGTCTGGTCACCAGCTAGATTTTTATGACTACTTTAAGATCTGTCTGCCACTGAGAGAGTGAAATGGGGTTTAACGTCCACTCGAGACAAACTAGGTCATTTCGTGACTAACATATGTTACAATTTCATTTCAATAATTCACTAGGAGTGCGGGGAACCTGAAGAAAATCATTTCCACAAATCGACAATTTTAATTATCAATTTTAATCATTTGTTTATAATAAAAATGAAATGAAATGAAATGGGATTAACGTCCTACTGTTCTGCTCCTAACCTGGGCTAATGAAGACGGGAATACGCCATACAGTGTGCTATGAGGGAAATTTTGCCCAGGCAGCGGCACTACGGCCTACTCTTATATCGAATTCCAGCTGCCAAGGGATCTTTTACGTGCATGACAATGTGTACACAGAACCTCGGTTTTTCGTCCCATTCGAACGACTAGACAGCTGTCCTTGTCAAGGGGACAAGGGGAAACCACGCCGGAAAATCTGGATGAACTTTCTCGGCCAATGTAGGGATCGAACACCTGACCTCCAGGCTAGCGAGCCAGCGTCTTACCCACTTAGCCACGTGATCCCCTGTTTATAATAAAAGATAACCTTAAGGTGGCATTTAGAGATTGAGGAAACCCAGAGGAAACCCACAAGGTTAGGCAGGCAGTAGTGGTAATGGGTGTGTAGTAAACATCATGGAATAGGGTTAGCACTGCACTCTGCCTACTGAAATTTTTTGTTGACTATTTTTGCTTTTTTTTTAAAACGTTAAAGGGACTATCCCAAATTGAATAGAGTCTCAAAAATAAAAGTCCGGGTATGTATGAAATTTAAGCGCCAAACTATAGAGGAATGGTGTATTTACCCTGTCTCAAAATGTCAGCTGAAAATATTGAGTCATTTGGACATGAACGTCAAAACTGCTTATCCGGACACGTAACCCTTTTAAGATTTTGGGTCAATTCTTTCGTTGAGTGACCTGATAATCGACTCCCCTTCCTTAAGAGGTTTATACAGTGAATGACCCATGTGCTGTACTTGATAACGAAAGGTAAATTTCACCTACACATTATTTTTATAAAATAAAAGTCTAGTTTTATCCAGACACCGCATAATACAGCTTGGGGCACCGGTCCCCACTTCCAGATTAAGACTGACGGATTTAAGTTGTTTGAAAACGTATCAAATATATTGAATTAGTTGCTCGGCCTTAAGGTAGGGGATTTTAAGGGATTTTAACACAAAATTAATCAGTTTTATTATCCAAAATATTATCGGGATTGGCCCTTTAACCTAAACGAATGAAATGTAAATCAGTTTATATACATTCATATTACATTATCATATGCATTGAGAGTGTTTTACGACCCATTTGTGTCAATTTCTAGGCACCTTATATTAGCGATTTAACTCCTTTAAAACAAAATAAAATCATTGTATCTTCGATACATCTG